TCTTTCATCTCTTATACTCTCGTGACACCTTGTGAGATCTTTAGTCTCATTTGATCCTGAGTTTTGGCTCATTTGTTTTAAGTCCATTTTCTGTTCAGATTGGGCAATTTCTGTTGTTCCATCTTCAAGTTCATTAAATTTTCCTCTGTCTCCTCCATTCTGCTGGTGAGCCTACCTATTAAATTTTTTAATGTTACTATATTTTTTTAGTTTCAGAATTTCTGGTTGATTCTTCTTCATATTAGCTGTTTCTTTGTTGAGACTTTCTATTTCTTTTCATTTGCTTCAAGCATGTTCATAATTGCCCATCGAAATGTTTCCATGGCGGATGTTTTAAAATCCTTGTCGGATAATTTTAACATATGCATCGTTTTGATGTTGTCACTTGTTTATTCTTTTTTCTCGATCGAGTTGAGATTTTCCTGGTTTTTGATATAATGAGTGATTTTTGATTGTGTCCTGGACAGTTTGGGTGTTATGCCATGAGGCGCTGGACCTTATTTCAGTCTTCTGTTTTATTGGGCCTCCTCTGACACCACTTTGGGGGGGATGTGGGTGACGCCACCTTGTGACTGCCAGATGGGTGACAGGCCAGGTTTCCTACACAGCTCCTCTGACACCTGAGAGGTGCTCCGTTACCGCTGGGTGGAGGTGGGGTCAGAGGATCCCCACTGGGCTCTGCTGACACCATCGTGTCTAGGAAGGGGAGGAGTGTCTGCTTAGTGGACGCTGTGACTTTGGACATGGTGTAGCGGGGCTGTTACCTCTGGGTGGTGGTCAGGCTTCCTGTTTCTCTTGTGGCCTCTTCTGATGGTCGGGTGGCCAGGCCTGCCTCCTCTGTGGATTGGGAGGAGGTCTGAGACCCCTGTGAGCCCCACAGTGTTACAGGGGTGAAGTCCCTGCCCCATGCCCCACCTGGGCCTTCCCTGACAGCGTCAGGGCGGTGGGGGCGTCACCCTACAGCTGGGCGCGTTGGCATCTAGGCTGCCCCCATGTCTGCTGCCCTGTGTGGGGCCGTGCTCAGTCGTGTCATGTTGGGGGACAGGTAGTTGCCACCTGAAAGTCTCCTTCCTGTTGGGCTGCCCTTCCTGGGCCTCGGCAGGAGGGACCAGGCTGTTCTTGGGTTGTGCCCGTGGCTTCTCTGCGCACTGACTCTAGCACGCAGTGCGGGGTACGTAGGCAGAAGGAGGACACGGAGCCTCCCTGTGGGGTCACTCCTGGAGCCAGAGGTCCCCCCTGGCCACCCCCCTTCTCTCCACCTTTCCACAGGTCACTTCCAGGGTGGTCGTTGTGTTTAGTGGGGGACGGGGCGTCTGCTGGGTCTTGGTCTGAAGCTGGAAGGAAGGAGCGATTTGCCTTTGTTCTTTTCTCTTCCCTCTTTTTGTTTTAAAGTCTCGTTCATTCCTTCGTCCACCCATTCACAGCTTTTCCGATGCAGTTCACGTACCGTGCGAGGCTCCCATTCGGAGTGTAAAGGTCGTGGTTTTAGTGTCTGCACAGAGACCACACGGCATCTCTGGGAAGGGGGCCCTGCGCCCACCGCCCGCCCTCCTCTCCCTGCCCCCGCCCCTCTCTAATTTTCTTTTATTGTGGTAAAATGCACATAACAAAACCAACCATTTTTAAGTGTACTTTTGAGTTACTGTATAGTAAATCACAAATTTCATACTTTGAAACTGTGAATAAGCTTTATAAAAAATTATTTTTTCTAGTTTTCCTATTTGAGGAAAAACATTTCTATTATGCTAAATATTAGAATACAACTAAAAAGTAAAAACTAGAAGTGAGGATAGTCTTATATTTTCAAAAACAAGTTTATATCGTGAGGCCTTTTTCTCTGTATTGGCCGTTGAAAGCTCACCGGTTGTTAGAAAAGCAGCGTGGATATGGGCTTCGCTGTGTGAATTTTGAGAGCCTCTTTCCTGGACCACGTGAACATCATTTGTGCTCATTACATACAAGGATTTGCAGTATATTTTCAAGGCTCTCAGGTTTTTCTTGAAGTGAAATGATTTTGTTTCGTTATGATCGTACCAGTTTAGGACACAATGTATTTAAAATATAATGTTGGTAAATTGTTCCAACTGACCTAAAAATTTTTATCATTGGGTTTTTATTTTATGAAGATTTCCAGGGGAAGAATTAGATGTGTTTTGAATATGGTTTAATGTCAAAAAAAATAAATATTACACTGTTTTCTATGTTATAAAGGATGACGATTTTCCTGTTTTGTTTTGTTTTTTTAAAATATGTTATTAGGTAAATGAAATGCTGTGTATCACAAATAGTTTTTAATAGTTCCCTAGGAATGCAATTACTTGTTAAGGTCATTTTCTGTACAGTCACGCAAGGCATCAGTTTCTCTTCTTGCATGATGAATATGTGAGTAAAAGTTAAGTATTTCTTAATTTGATGTTTTTTATTTGTCTTTTAAATGGTGCCTGTGTCATTCAAATTATCTTCCAAGTTTAATAGAAGGAGAGTGACACTGGACGGTATTTCGTTTATCAATGTCTGTTAGTACTTTTTTCTTGCTTCCTCGCAGTGTGGCTTTTGGCCCTGCCTAGAGGTATTTGCAGTCTTATAATAGTTAAACTTTAGTGTTTAAAGAGACTCATGCTGGGAACAGATGGCTGTTGTCTGATTATCTCTAACGTATTTCTTGCTAGAGGCAAGACAAATTTTTTTAATGCTAGTTTTCTTATTCAGTGTCTATATGCAATTTTCTTTAAATCTGAAAAATTTTTCTAACTGTGATAACTATCTAAAAATATTTTATTAGTTGTAAAGATGAAACTTTTTCTTTGCTGTGATGGCTTATAGTTGAAAAGCCTTTCTAGACTACACACCAATTCTTAAGGCAGCGTTTATCAAAGCGCCCGGGCCCAGGACTTCTTGGACTCAGGGCTGTTCTTAAGGTCTGTAGAGTTACCTTTCAAGGGGACCTGTAGTCCCTTCAGGTTGCCGGCGTTGCGCGGGCCTGCGGGAATAGAGCTGTCTGGCCCAGTTTTCCGCAGCTGACTGTCTGAGCGCGGGATGGAGTTGCTGATCGGGAATACGACAGTGTTAGGCAACTGTCCCATGCTACCTGGCCTACTTACCTTTGAATTTCTGGATTGGCCTTGACATAGCATTAGGTATTTCACCACTAACTCGAGTTTAAAGGTTTGTCTCAACTTACGTATAGCGTTTCTGAAATTTATTATGTCAAGAAATTGGTTTCTAGGTTTCTTACAGGACATCTTAGAAAAGGAGTGAGTGGCTCTGAGGTTACCGCGTGCACAGTTCCCGCTCGGGGGCCCTTGGCCCAGGCGCTGCCCTCGCCTCAGCCTCGGGTCCCCGCGTGTTCTTCACCGGCCCCTTCCGCCGCTGCTGCCGCGCGGACGCGAGTCCCAGGGTCTGTGGCCCTTCGTGTGCTTTTGCTGTTGTTAAGGACTCGTCAGTGGCCGTTCGCCTCGGAAGCCGTATGTGATGAAGGAAACGCACGCATTTTGTTATAGCACTTTCGTGCTTTATTAACGTGCAGGCCAAGGGGGAAGTGTTCATCTTTCCTGAAGAAGGTGTAAGCATTAGACATATTTTAAATGTTTTACTCTCTTTAATATCAGTTAACGTCTCAGAAATGTTCCCCATCAAAATGGAATCAATAAGGCTGTTAGATGCTTAAGATAAAACTGTGAGTTTAAGCCAGTTATTATATTGATCTACTTCTACTTGGATACATGTAAATTATGCACCTTCTAGAACTTGAGCGTTTTGTTGAAAATTCCTAATTTTCTTTAAACCTTTGGCAGCCGTTAAGATAGCTGTCTTCATTTCTCATATGGCAGTACTCTTGGGTTTGGTATCATCCGTTCTGTCGTCTTTGTTCACATTGTTTTTACTCGTTTTAAAAATATGTTTCCAGAATTATACTTAATTGCTGGAAACGTTGATTTTTCTTGAGTGACAAACCAATTAAGTGTGTATGACACCAGGCAACAAAGACACTTAAGATTTTCTGCTTAGCCTGTCTCTGAAAAAATCCATTATTCATCATCTTATTGTTTTTAAATACTGAGGTAAAATCTTGAGTACAATAGGAAAATTGCTTTGGAAATGGAATAAATTGCTTGCCAGTTCAAAGGCTGCATTTCTCAAGTCGAGGTTACTAAACATGAGGTTGCTTATGTTCATTATCTTTCAGACTCATTGTACTGCTTTTCCAGCTTCAAAGTTGATAAGATTGTGACTTTTGCTAAAATGTAACAGTCCCTGAAAGAATTTAATGAAAAAGACTAAAAATCTCATTTTGCATACTGTATTATATTTAAGTGGTATTTTGAATTTTAATTGCATTTTGTATAAATATTCAGTTTCTAGTTGACTGTTTTTAAAAAGAAGTGGTGTTGTACAGAGAATAAAAAAAGGAATTAAGAGGAGACATTAATTCTGCTTTATGTCTGTTCACAGATCATATAATTTTTTGCCTAAGTCATCTAAAATGGTTTGTCGCTTGCTGTAGGGCAGTCGTGTGATGGTGCGGACAGTATTGGAGTTGTTTGTAGAGATCACATGGAGAGGCTACGCTGAGTAGCATTTTGTTTGGTGGAGTAAGGTGTTAAAAAAGAGGTGTGGAATAAGCCCCTGCTGCTTCTAACGTACTTATCATCACCAAAAGGTCTTGTCTTACTACCTCATTGTTTTGGTGACAATATGGTACTTAGTCATGTGTTTAACCACATGTGACCGTTGCTATTGAAGTTTTCCCATGCTTTTTGAGTGCACGTTTAAACGGCACAGCATGGTAGTGGTCACCTTTGTAGATAAGTCTCGTTTACATTTTTAATTTCCACGGGTTGGTCAGAATCTGTGGTCAAAGTTTACTTCCCTCACCGAAAAAAGGCCTTTGCTGCGTCTTCACACGCTATCCTCTGCTCCTTTGCCCAGGTCCCTGCTGGAAGATGAGTACGCCCGTTTGGATGAAATGCCACTGATGATGTCTGAGGAAGGCTGTGAGAATGACGAAGGTGACTACCACACACTGCCGCGGGCGAGGGCCGCGCGGAGGGGACGACGGCCGGAGCGCGCGCTCTGCGGAGGGTGGCAGTCCCTCTGCGCCAGGTTGGTGACCCGGTGCGCCTGGTTCCTGTGTACCGAGGGCACAGGGAAGGGACTGACAGCTCCGCTCCCGACAGCTTTCTGTACCAGGTCAAGGAAGACGCCCCTCGGGGACCTCACGGAGACGGCAGCCCAAGCCAGGCAGTGCCAATTCGAAAGGGACGGAGAGCCACATTCACTTTTTTGTGACGTGTTTCAGTGTTTAAAAGACGGAGGAAATTTGTGATTTCGTCAGGGAGGCATGCAGTGCACCTGTTCTCTGGTCCCCGTGTCGATCTTTATAACTGTTCCTTTCTCCGCCGCCTGTAACAGCCCTCCCATCCCGAAAGGTAGACGCGGGCCTGCAGAGTGCAGCCTAATCCCACCGTGTCTGTGCATGTTATTGAGCTCCCAGGCTTTGGCGTGGGGCGAGCTTCCCCGGTTAGCAACCAGGGAGGAGAGCAGACGAACGCCCGTAAGCGAGCTCGCGGTGCTCGAGGGCAGCGGTCGCGGCGCGGGACCCTATCAGCTCTGCTCGCTTTGCCTTCACAGTTGATATGTGGACGCACGTTGCATGTCTGGGACACTCTGCCGCTCACTGGCTGTGCTGCCAGCCCTGGGGACAGGCAGGGCGAGATTGCAGCTGACTAATGCTGTCGCGACTTGAGCAGAGTCTGTCAAACAAGTTACAGCTTCTACAGGCTTTCTGCTGACCAAGGTCCGTAGTCAGTGCCTTGGTTACGATCGTGCACTCACATCCCTTTGTCCAGAAGAGGAATGTAAATAACTGTAGAAAAATACCTTGTTCGTCATCCTTCTTGTTATCCCGTTAGAAGTTTGCAAACAGATGTTTTTGTAACTAATTTGATTTCCGGGTCAGCTCCTGAGGTATGATTCAGAAGACTCCGCGGAATCCTGCGGGTGTTGGCGACATGGGGCCAGGCGGTGAGGCTGAGCAGGGTCAGCGCGGTCTGCGTCCTCGTCATTCTTATCCATCGTAAGCTTTCTGTAAGAAGAAGGAATTTCATGGCTAAAGAACATTTTAGAAACTGCTGACTCATGATACTAATGTCATAATAAGAGTCTGGGGCTTTTTAAAAACATTTTCTAGGTGAACTAGCCAGTGTTTTTGGAGTGCTCCTTGTGGGCATATTTAATTCTCAGGCTAATTCCTTTACCAGATGTTGGACCGTGCAGGTTTTTGTTTGTTTGTTTTATTATTCTTGTGTCAGTTGTGATGATTCATGCTTTTTAAGGGTTTATCTATTTCAAATTTATATTTATCTTATAATCTAGTGCAAGGGTCCCCAACCCCTGGGCTGCGGACCGGTACCGGTCCGTGGTCTGTCAGGAACCAGGTCACGCAGCAGAAGGTGAGAGGCGGGCGAGCGAGCAAAGCTTTGCCCGTGTCTGCAGCCGCTCCCCAGCGCCAGCATCAGCGCCTCAGCTCCGCCTCAGATCAGCAGGCACTAGATTCTCACAGGAGCGCCAGTCCCTGCTGCCAACGAGGTTGGGGACCACAGACCTAGCTAATGTGTGAGGTTCTGTATAGATGTCACATTTTTGTATTCCGGATGTTGGTAATTTGTCTCTCTCCCTTTTTTTCATTAATTTTGGTAGGAGATTGTCAGTTTTATTTTTTTCAAAGAGCCAAGCTTTTGGTGTTGTCTTCACTTTTGAAATTTAAAACTTTTATCTTGAAATGAGTTCAGACTTGAAATAAATTCACTTTTGATCTTGAGGTAAGTTCAGACTTACAGAAAAGCGCAAGAGTAGTGCATAGAAGTCACGTGGCCCGTGACTCGGGTTCACTAATTTTTCATGCTTCGCCACATTTGTCATTCTCTTTACATCTTGGTAACATTTGGAGTCATTTCAGACCAGGTCGTTCACTTTGTTCCTGTCTACATCTTAATACTTCAGCGTGCATCTTAGGAAAAGGGTGTTTTCCTACGTAACTCACACAGTTAGCAAATTCAGGAAATTTACACCGACAGAGTCTCTTACGTCTGCCTCAGGCCCATGTCCCAGTAGTGTCCCTCGTCTCCAGTGCCAGCTGCGGTTCAGAGCCAGATGTGGCATTCCATTCAGGCGGCATGCCCGTCGCGTCTCCTGAACCTGGACTCGTTCTTAGCACTTCTTTGCCTCTCATTCCAGTGACATTTTTGAGGACTACAGAACAGGTATTTGCAGACGGCTTCAGCTGGCTTTGCCCGACGTGTCCTTGCCATGCGAGTCGGGGCCAGCGCTCTCCGTGGAGTGCCGTCCGCGCCCTGCTTACCGCGCCCTGCTCGCCGTGCACGCCCTGTCGCCCCGATCTCTGGGCTCCCCTCGTCTTCTCTCAGACGTCCTCGGAGTTCAGCTTGCTGTTCTCTTCCCGGCTTCCTCAGGTGCATTCTCAGGTCACCAGCGTTGCCCTCTTTCCCCTTTTAAAAATAGATGCATTCGAGTTCCCATGCGTGGTGTTTTCGTTAGCGGTCAGTTCCAAACATTTCCTAATTACCATCACCATTTCTGCTGTATCCATTTCCAATTAGAACTGTGCTGCTTAATTTCCAAATGGTTGGGGACTTTCCTAGTCATATGTTGGAGTTGACTTTTATCTTAATTCCACTGTGGCCAGAGACCATACTTACTTTTAAAATTTTAGTCTTTGTAACATGTTGACCCTTGCTTTATGGTTCATCACATGAACAACATTAGTAAGTTTTCTGTGTGTATTTGTACATTTGGTTGTTGAGAGCATTGCTCTGTATGTCGATGAGTCATATTTAATTGTCCAGTTTTAATCTTCTTTATTCATATTCAAAGTTTGCATCTCTATAATCAGTTAAGAGAGACTGGCATTATCTCTAAACGTCATTATGGTTGTGTCTACTTTAAAGTGTGTCAGTTTTTGCTTTGTATATTTTTAGGCTGTGTTCTTAGATGGAAGTTTAGGATTATTAGCTTGCTATTGGGTTGACCTTTTATTGTCATTCAATGTCTCTTTATCGCTAGTACTATTTTTTCTATGCAGGCTTATGATGATTAAATTTACTAAAATGATACCAGCTTCCTTTGATTAGTGTTTGCATGATATATCATTTTCATCCTTTCGTTTTTAAAAACTTTTATTTTGAAATAATTATAGATTCACAAGATATTGCAGACAGTACAGAGTCACCTAGGTACCCTTCACCCAGCCTCCCCCACCAATGGTTACACCCTCAGTGAATATCAAACCAGGAAGCTGACGTTGGCGTGGGTGTGTGTAGTTCACTGTCATTTTATCACATGTAGGTGTGTGACCACCACCACGATCTAAATACGGAGCTGTCCGTCACCACAGAGGTCCCCTTCGTGCTGTTTTTTGTAGTCACATTCGCCCTCTCGCCCTGAAGCCCTAACTCCAACAGCCGCCAGGCAGTGGCCAGCTCTATAGTTTGAACTTAGAGAAGGTTACATAAGTGAACCATTCAATGCGTGATTTTTGATACCGGCCTCTTTCAATCCATGGTGCCCTCGACATCCATTTAGGCCGTTGTATGTGTCGTTGCCAACCAGCGCCCGGTGCGGGCAGTACTGCTTAACTGGCCACCGGCCACAGGGCTTTCTGGTCATTTCCAGTGTGGGGAAGGTAGGTGTGACGCTGCGGGCCAGCCGTGCACAGGTCTTGCCGCGTGTCCAGGGGCTATGTGCTAAGTATATGTTTTTTAAGGAATCCCGAGCTCTTACATTTTTTTTAAAACACAGATGAGAATATCCAAGTGTATGTTCTTTTTAAACTGCCATTTTACGTTCCCACTGGCAGCATGTGACAGCTCCAGTGTCTCTCATTCTGGCCAGCCTTTGTTGTTATCTCTGTTTTTAACTGTAGCTGTTATTATCAACATGCGTGTAGTGGTGGCTTGTCATGGTCTTAATTTGCATTTCCAAGTGACTGGTGAGGTTACACATCTCATTTGCCATTCGCGTATCTTCTTCAGGAAATGTCTCTTCTGTCTGTTCCAGTTTGTAATTGGATTGGTGGCTTTTCCCTGTTGAGTTTTGGAAGCGCTTTACGTATTTTACGTCCGGGTCCTCTGTCAGGTAGGCGGTGTGCAGGGATTTTCTTTCACTCTGTGGCTTGTCTCTTCATCCTCTGGAAGGGTTTTTCACAGGCCGAAAGTCTTTAATCTTGATGAAGTCCAATGAATTGCTTTTTTCTTTTGAGGATTGTACCTTTGGTCTTATTCAGGATTTTGTTTTTACCAAATGGAACATAGCCAGATTTTGGATTTCATTTGTAATGCATTCTTTTCCTAAGGAAGATATTAAGAATGTATTTGAAAATGTGGACGTTAACAGCAAAAACAGTCATGTTTGAGGGACATTAAAACAGCTCAGTAAAATACACTAGATGAGTGTATAAAGTTTTAGTAAATGGCAGTGGTGTGGAACAGCTGACCGCGCCGTCTCGGCAGGCCTCACTCGGTCTAGATGGCAGCGAGGCACGTCGTCCTGCCGTACGGATGCCAGCGGGCCCAAGACGTTGTCACTCTTGTTCTCTGGTGTCTGCTGTGCCAGAAAATGGTTATGAAATTAAAAACTACACCTTACGGAGCAGAGTGTACGTGTAGCAATTTGGACCGGTCTTACTGTCTTTATTTCTTACAGATTTTGTTTTGAATATTTGCTTCTTTTTAATATCATAAATACCAGGCATATAAAATTTGGTTTTATTAACATTAGACAATACATCAGAGCTAAGATACATAGAATTGTTTAGTTTAATTGTAGGAGGAAAATGTCGATGAATATTTCAGTGAAGGTAGATAGCATGATTAATGAATGGTAAGTATTTCGGGCAGGTTGCAACTAATATTAATGAGTTGTTAATATTCCATTGTACCTCTATTCGTAGATTCTGTGAGTAGTAAGGCCTATTTGAAAATTCTTCTTCAGGGTAGGCTTTAATTTCATCATGGTTTAAGAACCGCTTTCTCATTTTTCTTATTTGGCAAAAATTCCAGCTCCGACATATGTAAAACTTCTGTAGTCTGTCATCTAAAGCTTCGAATGTTCTGCATGTGCGTGCCTGTGAAGCGTGTCGTTCTGTGTAGTTCTGCAGTGGGGTGGGAGGGGGCGTCTTTCTCACGAGATTTACATTCCACTCTTATCAAAAATCAGTTCGTGCCTAGGAACTGGAGCCCTGATGGCGTTTGCACGAGGGAGGGGACTGTCAGGTGCCGGGTTCTTCCTGGTCTCAGTGGTCGCCGCACGTTCAGTCGATGGGCAGTGCGTCTGGGCTGCAGGACCGGGCGAAAGCGCTGGTCCTTTACGAAGACCCGAGTGCTGTCTTGCTTTGCCTCGGGAACTAGAGGTACCTGTTGGATATAATGATCGTCTAGTTTGTTTCTGAAGGAGACTCTCTATTTCGGGACTTATTTAATTATAGCTAGTTAAGATTTTAGTAAACGGGGTCTTGGTATATGAAGACCCTTTATTTGACGTTAGAATGTTAACTTGGAACATGGAAGCATTTGTGAAAAGCTGCTAATCCTAAAATATTTTGAGAAAAAATGTAACTTGTGCACTATTGGATTTAGGTTCAGCTCATGTAAGGCGACATGTAAGTGGGAAGGCGTCTTCTGTACAGCGACTCAGCAGTGTGGGCACGTGGTAGGTAAAGCCCTGGTTCTTTCTGAAGACTCTTCTTCGGTTCGCCCTCTCACTTGGGAGTATTTGCCAACGTACTTTACTCATGTTACTTTGCCTCCAAATTGCCCTTAGATCTATTTTCCCCCTTAGCTCTGCAGCTCAGCCAGGCTTACATGTACCTTCGTGGTCGCAAGGACCTTATTTGGGGGTTTATGCCCTTTATTCTTATCCTTAAAGTCACCCGCCTGCCTCCCGATCGTATCTCACGCCTCGTGACCCGGGGGCAACACTGGTGGGGCATCAGGCTTTAAACCCGCAAGCCTGTGCTCACCTCATTCTGCGAACCACGTGATTTGCTTGTGGCTCCCCGACCGCTGCGCGATTCTGTCTTTACAGAAGAAAATGTTAGAAGTAACACTTGTGAATGGTGATCAGTAGCAAAGTGTTATGAATAATTTAGTTATATCTTAGAAGTCTAGGAATCTGTGTTTTCTATACAGGATTTTAGAGAAAAAGATGATAAACTGTTGAGTATGTTTTTAGCTCTTGGCATTTAGCTTAGAGTTCAGAGTACAAGGCATTGGCAGTTAGTGCGAGGTCAGTTTCCTGTGCTGCTGACCTTGGTAATGATGTTGACGTTTTGTCCCAGCTGGTGTTTAGTGTTCACGTGACGCAAACAGTGGCTTTACATTTACAGAGCCTTTTGCTTGTGGAAGAATATGTTGACACCAACAAACACTCTGTAAAACCCACATTTCTTAAGTTTTATACTTTTTCAAACACTTATCTTTGCCTGTCTTCTGTTTCATCTCGGGTTTGTCTGACTTCTGTACAGTAAACCATCAGATTACCTAATTATATGTTTCAGAACAAAAATTCACATCTGAACACACACGACTGGAAGATTTTTGCTGCGTGTGAAATGCTTAAGGAAGCGTGCGCATATGCGGCCTGTGTCTTCACCTGCTGTACCTGTGTGCAGTGTGCTGTGCACCTGCCAGCCTGCTCAGGAGCTGTCCCTGTGATGATGAGAATACTCTAGATCTGTCACACCCAGTGTGGCGCCACTAGCCCAAGGGTTACTGGGTGTTGGAATGTGGCTCATGTGACGGAGGGCCTGAACCTTTTATTTCACGTACTTTTAATTCACATTGAAACGACCACCAGCGCCAGCGGCTGCTCCGTTGGACAGCCTGTTGCAGTTAGCGCTGTACGGTTGGAGACGTCTGAATGCGACACCAGGAGGCAGGACAGTGACTGCAGAGCGCCTCGTGTGCGTCCTCTCTGGCCGGCTCTGTGCTAAGGGCTCGCAGCGTGCGAGCTAAGAGGTCGATGCTTTTCCAGATGAGGACACACACACTGGGCCCGGGACCCCAGGCCACTTGCTGGGAGCCATCTTGGGGAACATGACCTTGAAATCCGTGTTTCTCGGTCGAGCCTTGCTGCCTGCTCACACACTGTCCGTTATTTTTGTCATCTGTCGAGTGGCTCCTGTGCTGTGTACAAGGCCAGGAACAAGCAGGTGTGGAAGTGAGCGGAAGCCGGCCCTGTGTTGAGTGCGGTGGGACAGACGCCGGCTCCGGTGTCCGCTCGCTGTGACCCTGGCGAATCCTCTCGAATGAGCCGCTCGCCTTGCTGGCCTGGTTTTCTCCCTTGTAAGATGTGCAGGTCGGTGTGCACGCAGATCGCGCAGCTGCGGGTGTCTGAGACTGGACCTGAATCTCAGTTTCAGGAAGGGTCTGCTCATGCTCAGAGCTCGTATGGCGTGACGTGACGGTGACGTGGGCTGCACTAGGAGCCCGTGCGGTAGCCCGGTGGAAGAGTGGCCCGCAGAGCTGCCGTTGGGAGGAGGCAGGGGGGCGCGCTCCCGAGCTCCAGGCGGTGGAGGTCGTGACCCCCCAGGAGGGGTCCGTGCTGCACACGTGGTCTGCGTGGCAGCGGCCAGGGGGCGGCCGGGGCCAGAGTTCTCGTGAGGGGTCCAGGCGCACAGCACAGCTACCGCTGGGCGGGAAACAGTCACCGAAGTGGACGGTGTTTTATTCAAAGCCTTATTTAATTTTTGTTTAATGCGAGCATCGACAAGATCAATATTGCCAACATTTTACTGAACTCTGCTCGGCTGGTCCCTTCCCACCAGGAGCCTCAGGAGTGACCTTGGAAGCCGCCTGTCAAGACACAGTTACACGAGTCCCTGGCATCTTAGGTCACATTCGAATTTCTATAACTGCCCTTTTTAAGAAACCCCTACAGATTCACGTTAGATATGCTATCAGTGCCTGGTAAATGTGGAAGCAGTCATTATTGCCTATAAATATGTAGAATTAATTTAAAAACTTAGAAAGCATACAATATGTACCTTTTGTTTCATGCAGTTGCTGCGATTGGCTGATAAATGTCTGTCAGAGGAAGAGAGAGCTGAGAGCTCGCACCGTATGGCTTGGGCATCCTGAGAAGTGCGAAGAAAAACATCCTAGAAATATCATCAAAAATCAAAAATACAATGTGTTTACCTTTATACCTGGGGTAAGACTATTTTTAAACAGTTGATATCAGAGATTGCTTACTTCCTTTGCTTTCATTGTTCTTTTTAGTTCTTAAATTTTTTCTCTTGTTAATTGTGTCATATCCAAAATCAGTGTCTTTTTTGCTTTTGAACCATTTGTGTTTCAAATTATTAAATCCATATACATTTTTAATGTAGATATCATAGTGTTCAACTGAAGAAAACTTAGTTTGATTATTGCCTTCAGTTCTAGATAAAAATCATACTTATATTATAGAAATAATCAAGTAAAGTAAAATTATTAGAAAGTAAGTCATAAATTTTATTTGCCTGGAAATTTGTGTGGAGTGCAAAATGAAAGAAATGCCTAAAGCTTGCCAAGGAACTTCATAATTAAAGTAAAATTTTTAATTTTACTTTAATGTGAGTCAGTAACAAAATGCCTGTTAGGATTTCTGGCTATCTTTTTTACTTCACATTATAAATTTCACACCTGTTATATTGTTATACCACGAGTTCTCTTTAATTAGGTATTATCGTTATTTTAAATCTGAATTTTAAATATTTTACTATTTTTTGTTGCTAGTGATATTTCTGGTTTAAATTACAAGACTGAGTTCATGTGTATTCAGAATAGTTGAATAAGATTTGCTTTTTGTGCATCATTCCCTATTTTGATAACTGACTTATCTTTCTGAGGCAAAAGGAATCTGATACTGACTATATTTTTATATCAAACTTATCGACATGTTCTAGGTATTAGCTCTTATGCTATTTTGCAAGAAAATCTCTTGATTCTGTGACATGAGGGCTACTTTATCTTTCATGTTTTCACTGACTTTCTTTAGGGCATTGATTACCTCCCACTGCCCATCCCACCCATCCAGGAGTTGGCAAGTGCTTAATATGTGCTGTGATCCTTTATTAAAACACAAATCCGACAGCTTCGATTAAAAAAACTGATCTTTTGTAAGGACAATAAAATGTAAATTGTCTTTTAGGCAGATAAATATTCTTATCTTTATTGACCGGTTACTCTTTTCTCTCTGGTTTAAATTATTAAATACTCACAGATTGGCTAAGCATTGTACATGTCCCTAAAGGTCACAAAGTTCGTTCAGTAGACAATGAAGTATTGATTACAGTGCTTCAGAGCCAACGTCGCAGCTTGACTGTGATCAGTAAATCCACACAGCCCGGCGAGGCCTGGAAATACCTGTTGATGTGTCAGTGCAACTGTTACCGTGCGAATGATTTTCTCCTTAGATTGTCTCTTAAATTAGTCTTTTCATCTAAAATGTAGTATTTTAGAAACATTTGGTAATTGCACAGTAGGAATTCTATGCCATTTTTAGCATGAATGGCAATTTCTGAATTGCTAATAGATATAATTTATGCTAACTGAGATTTTAAAGAAATCACTGAGGAGAAAGAGAGCTTTCTCTCCTGCTGAGATTATTTATGAAATGATTCAAAACATTTTTAGAGAGCAAGTGCACGATTATGAACATAACCGTGTATCAATGTAACTGATTTTTCAGTCACACACGACTGTACGATGATGCATATAACTTCATTATATAAAAATGGTGGTTCCAGGCTCTTTTCATCAACAGCAAGTTCTTAACCCATTGCTCTGCTCTGTTAAAGTCACTGTGTCTTCCAAGTTGCATAAAACATGGCATCCAAGGAGATGTGGGTTTGCAAGTTGCAAGTTTGTGGCGTTTCGTTGTGATTGTACAGAGTGCTATGTGAGGAATTATTCTCATCTATAAATATAACTTTTGTTCCATCTTGATTTTCAGATTCAGTTGAATTAAGTTGATTCACTTTCATTCCGTTTCTTAAATCTCAATTTGAGAATTCTTAAATCCCAATTTGAGAATTCTCAAATTGAGATTTAAGAAATGGAACGAAAGTGAATATGTATGGGTGGCTGTCTTCCTGAAAATCCACATGTGTAATTTACACGTCTTTATATTTTATCATTTCTCACACTTTAAGGAAATTAAATACAGGTGATGAGGGCAGTTTTAGGGGAAGTAAGAGATATGTGAATGTTTTGCTTGTTTCTCAGTCGTTGTAAAGCTGCCCAAATATCTACATTCAGAAAACGTGGCTATCATGTTTTCTTTTTTACCATTTCGTAAATATGAGGTTTATGAGACTTTCTGAGCTGTTATCAGAAGACACGTTTGTGTGCGTGCTTGCCGGCTGGGGGCTTTGCTGCCTTATTTGCTCAGATGTGCGCACAAAGATCCATAGACTAGACGGTGAGTGTGGAAGCTGCAAAATTACATACAAGAAAATCAAAAGCTTTTAGGAGACACTTTTAATGTAGTTGAACTTTCTAATTGTCTTTTTTTCCTTTTTAGGTTTTATATGAACAATTCAAGTTTTTCTTGAACCTCTATTTTCTGGTAGTCTCCTGCTCACAGTTCGTACCAGCATTGAAAATAGGCTATCTCTACACCTACTGGGCTCCTCTGGTAAAAGAAAAGATTTTTGAAATTAAATATTTAGAGTATAGTTTTAAGACTTGAAATGGTTAATAGACAAATTGATCAGATTCTTAAAATGTGATATCGTTGCTCTGTATCATTGAACTTTTGTTAAAGGATTTGACAGTGTCTGTCGCTTAAGCCCCTCACAGACGCGCCCCCTGCTGGTGGGGTTCCGGCAGCCTCTGTGGGGCCCTGTGCACCTGCCCGAGTGGCAGGCCTGTCCCCCACCCAGGTCCCCACCGTGGCCACAGAGCCACTTGGAATCCAGGGGGTCTGCTTGATATGTTATTCTCTTGACACCTTTGGCTGACGGTGACCGTGCTGAAGTAGCACAGTGAAGCCCGTACAGTTCCTGGTGGACAGCTCAGTGCGTACAACTTGTTGAAAGGCAAATGATACTTATCACCTGATACTTCCATTTTAGGCACGTGCTGCCTTGCTAATCGTCTCATGCTGTTTGCTGGTTGTTTTTATCGATTCTCAGCTCATACAAAGGCACGCCCTCGTCCCCTCTTTTAGAAGAGCATGTGGTCCTTTGGTCTGCTCGAGGGCGGTCGGCCCCGTGCGGAGCCGGCCAGGGCTCAGGCGCCCGCCGGTGCGCCCTCGGAGCTGGGGTCTGCCGCAGGGAACCGGAGACGGGCTAGGAGTCACTGTCCCCGTTCACATGGACGCGGCTGCAGGGGCGTGAGCAGTGAGCGTCCCCGTGCAGGTCACACATGCAGACCCGAGACTGGGCGCGGCGCTGACCGTGTCCGCGGTGGCCCTCACCTGCTCTCTGGTAGACGGCCATCTGCAGCGTGGGAGGGTGGTTTGGTCGTCTTTACTGGAAGCCTGAAAATGGATGCGAGGAATTTATCCTGAAGAAATAACGAGGGGTCACAAAGTCTGAAGAACGTCTACTTTATTTTTGATGTAAAACTTCTTTAAAAGTCAGCTGTCTAACAACGGATCATTTATGCTCTGTGCCATGCATATGTTGGACTGCCATGTTCCGTGTAGCTTTAAAAATGAAGTTTAGAAAAAGTATTTACTAACGTTAAAGGTACATCTGTTAGAATGATGGGGAAAAGGGGGTTGAAACATGGATAGGATGGGATCCACACTCTGACCCGCCAGGAGCGAGCTGTCTGTGCCCAGCGCTGGTCTGAGCAGCGCTGGCACCGCAGCGACTGAGACGGGTGGTGTGCTTTCCCGGCCGAGCCCAGGCATGGGACAGAGGACGCAGACAGGGCCACAGCGCCCGGCAGCCATCCCAGAGCTGCGAACAGGAAGGCGAAGAGTCGGGTAGGGGCAGCGAGAGGGCTGCGGCTGCTTTAGAGCGATAGGCTCTTCTTAGGGGTGGCATCGAATGACATCTGAGTGACAGGAGAGAGGGGCGCGCTGTGTACAGAACAGGGAGAAGCGTATTACAGGCGGAGGGGAAGCGGTGGCCAGAGGTCTTAGAGCTACAGGATACGTGGTGTGCGTGCGCGGGGACCGTGGTCGGCCGGGCTGGGGCAGCTCCTCCGGCGCACGCTCTGCCATCGCCCCGAGTTGGCCAGGGAGCCCTGGGTTTGAGTGGCTGGTGCGCGCCCCGCAAAGAACACCGGGGCTTCCGCCGCAGCTTTAGAAGTGGGGGTTAGAGCCGGGAAGCCGCGGGGGGCGAGTCTTTCCTCCTCCTGCCCGCTCATCTTCCTTCCCGCTGGCGGTGATCTTCGTCTTGAATTTGAGATTATCATTGCTCTGTATCTCTTAATAATTTTAGTACTTGTATCAATAAACAGTATACAATATTGTTTTGCGTGATTTAAGAAATTTATATAAAGATTGTCTTTTTCTGTGTATTTTTTTGCAACATACATTTTTTTAGCTTAATGTTGGTTTATAAAATTGCTCCATTTTGACTCACATATCTAGTTCATTCATTTTTCACTTCTCTGAAGTATTTCTTTTTCTGAATCTGTCACAGTTACTTGTCCATCCTCCTGGGAAAGGAGATTTTTAGGTTATTTCTAATGTTTCACAAATACAGACTTTGCTGTAATGATCAGTCTGAATGTACTTTACTTTTTATGTACATGCGCCGGGAATTCTACGGGCTGTGTGTGCGCCAGAAGTCGCGTTTAAAAAGAGCTGTTTATTTTTTCCACTTCGTAAACAAAGGAAGTATTCTTCCGCAGGGATTTCTCCGGAAGCC